TTCTCTTAATTTTTATTATTTAATTATGACATTAAATATTGACACATTTGACCTAAAAGTTGAATTAATGACCCTTTTTGGTTGGTTTTAAAATTTGTATTTCATTTCCATTATCAATAAAAAGAATTCTTCTTTACAACTATTTAATATGATTAATATAAAATATCAAAAAAATGACCCAATTTTTCTACATTTTTTATTTTGTGAATTTGTTTCTATTTTAAATATTTTATTATTTAACTATGGCATCATGGGTTCACCCAATTGACCCCTTACAATTAAATATGGACTAAATTCATATATAGGGGTATTTTAGTAAAAAAAGAAAATTTCACACCCTTATTATTGTTTAATATGTCAAATATATGATGCTAAAAATGTTTCCAAAATTTTCTTTAATTTCTATATTTCTTTTTGCATTTTATCTATTTTTCAAATTTTATTGTTTAATTGTGGCAACATGAATTGGCCCATTTGACCCAAAATGGTTTAATTTCTTACCACCACCTAGATGAAAACACTATTTTTACATGTAGAATTTAAAAGTGTAAGTTTTTATGCTATTAGAATTATTAATTTATTATGTAAAGATTTAGTTAGTAGAATCTAGTGATGAGAATAAATTAATGCTTTAAATATATGATTCAATGAGGGTGAATGAGAGTTAATACCTTAAATATGAGATTTAATGAGAAGGAATTGAATACATTGAATAGTATCCGAATTACATTTTCTACCCTCACAACAAAGAGATCATATTTCAAAAAAGGGTATTTTAGTCAATAAAAATTCCAGATATTTTAGAGGCTATTCATATATGTCCTATAGCCTGGTGGTCTATAACTCTACCAATACATAAATGAAAAACATAAAGAGTAGTGAACTACATTCCCTATCCACTTTCTTTGCCCGCACCCTATATACAATAAACTGCAGTCCACATCTCCCACACTACAAGATGATGATGTGTGGCTGCAATTCAAGGTGGCGAATGGAGTGTGGCAGTGTTGGGCAGGAAACTTGATTTGCCAAAAAAATCACATATGCAAGGGCACCCCACAAACACTCCACACCTACACCTCACTGTGCATTGGGAACATCTTCTTAATTTGTCAATAGGAAATATGCTGTGTGGGATGTGATCTTTAGATAGGGCAACTTTTTGCCCTTAATATCAACAAAAAATAATATTTTTATATAATAACTAAAATAGGATAGCTTTTTTAGAAAAATATCAAGAAAGGGCAGTGGATCGTCTTCTTCCTTTGCCTTTGTATTCATCCGAATGGATCCTCCCTATAATGTTTGAATGAGATTCATGCAAAAAAGACAAATAATTTACAAATTGTGCCAGAAAACCGCTTAATTGGTCGGAAAACCACATTAAGCTGCTGAAATTTTTTTTTTCCGATTTACAGGATACGGCCAGGTACAGAAGCTTGGTCTGGCAATCTTGATCTTGAAACAGTGAGATCGAGGTTGGAAGAAGGACGATACTCTAGTTGCAGCTGAAAGTTCTTCCGTGATCTTCTTCTCCTCTTTAGCAATGCAATTGTATTCTTCCCCAAGAACTCATCCGAGTCCTCTGCCGCAACTGCACTTCGAGACGTCGTCAAAAAGGAGATGGCGAATCCGGTACCATCCAAAATCGAACCACCGGATTCAATGCTTCTTAAACCAAAGCCTGCTGCTCTCATGATAGCTTGTCACAAATGCAGTTCAATCTTTGCCAAAACTTCTACTACGACAAGCGTAGATAGGAAAGGGGAGCAACGACCAGGTTCTCCGACAAGGTTTCGTCGGTAAACAAATTGCATAGCAAAACAATCTAGTGAAAAGGAGTGTCGGGCGCTTGCACCATCAAGGAGGTGATAGCAATTTCTGGCGATCTAAGTTTTTATTTTGTAACAAATTTTATTTTTGTTGTTTTTTTTTTCGCTTTCTGCCCCTCCTGCGCCGGTTTGCTTCTTTCTTGGACATGAAGAGCATTTTCAGTTATTACTTGGCTGGAAAAATACAGAGGCAAAGGAGGAAGACTAGCAACGGTGTCTATTGCCCTTTCTTGATATTTTTTCAAAAAATCTATCATGCAGAAACCCAAATATAATTAACCACAAATAACCCAGACAAATACAAACTACCCACGAATCCAACTGGATTTTATTCCGAAGATGTGATCTTAGAGCTCGCTTACACYAAGTATACCATCAGTGGGAACTTTGCTTTCTGGGGTGTCTCTATATACCAAGTAGACCTGTTCATAGGCCGGGCCGGGCCGGGCCGGGTTCGGGTTGGGCTTTTATTCTTCATTAATGAAAATTTGTTAGGCCTGAGCCCGAGCCCGGCCTGACCAATGGGCCTACAACTTGGGCCCAAACCCGAAGCCCGATTGTGTTCGCCGGAATCGAGTTCGCGATGACTGTGGTCTGTGAGCTGTGACATGCGATTTTAAGTTTAACAGTGATCAGTTTGCGTCTAAGAGAGAGAGAGAGAGAGAGAAGGAGAGGAGTGAGGACTCACCGCTGGAGTTGTTGCGTCAGTGAACGTTCGCCACCTTGCCGGTTGTGTGGCTGCCTGAGAGTGTGAGGATGAGAACTGTGGAGGATGTGGAGAAGAATGGTTCGACTGGAAAAAGAAAGGAAAGAAGCAAAGAGGTGAAAAAAATAGGGGGTCTTCGACTAAGGTTAAGGTTTTTAGGTTTAGTTATAGGTCGGGCCAGACTATTTTGACAAATCCCGAGCCCAACTCGAATTTATTATGAGCCGGGCTTTTTGACCCGAGGTTAAACCCGCAGGCCTATATGCATGTTTAAGCCCGTCCGAGGGCCAGGCCGGTCAAGCCACCCAGCCCATGAACAGGTCTAATACCAAGTATACGAAAGATGTGATTTCATTCCAAAGTGTCTGTCCTTTTCACTTCTTATTACTCTTTTCGTTCACTTTTTCTAACATTTCTAGTACCAACTAATTCATTCGGGCGAGACATCTTACGATGTCATGATGCGCCCATTCCTATGGCCATTCCTTCCATACTTTTGGCTCTCGGGAGTGTCTCTTTGTAGGATACTTGGCCAAAGTGTGACCCGTTTGCCCACGAGTAAGTACTGTGACGAAGCGTCTGTTGCTCACCCGACACGATCRTACGAGGTCACAATTCACCCAACACGATCATCCGGGGTGAACATCTAGTACCCACACCTACCACAAGATACTGCAACATCGGGGTTAAAGACATCTGTGCACTATCCAAAAAGTACAAGTATTAATGTGTAAGTTAATCTTTTACATTTTCAACCGTGTAAATTATTTATAATTCATATTTATCCTCCCCTACTTTTCTACTTTTTATCTATATCCAGTAAAGAAAGTTTAGATTAAAAAATTTAAGAATTATTTAAATATTCTAACAAAATTATATAATTACATTAAAATATGTATTAAAAACACAAAAAATAATTTTATATTTTTATAAAATATATCATGAAATTATATACTAATAATTTAAATTATATTTTTCTGGATTATCAATTAAATGTTTTTCAAATACTTAATAATATGTAATAGCTTTAAATAAATAAAATTAAAATAACAAAAAATTATAAATATTTATAGATTATTTAAATATTTATCATAACTAGATTTTAAATAGTTAAAATAACGGAATTATGTAATAAATTTAAAAATTTCTTCAAAGTAAAAAATAATTATAACATAATATTGAAATTAATAATAATTTAATATATTATAAAATTAATAATAAAATTATGTAATAATAGTATAAATTATGGTTTTATGGATAATTAAATCGATTGACCTTTTGTGAAAACCGACCTACTCAAGTTGTATCAGTTTTCACAAAAGGTTAGTTGGTTCAGAAGATTTGAACGTAGAAATTAAATTAAATTTTAAAAATTACAGTGCTATTATTAAAAGATAAATTTAAAAATTAGATTTATAAAATAAAACATTTTAGATTAAGAAATATGAGAAATTTCTCACTTTTTCATATTAAAATATAAAATATTAATATATATCCATGGTTAGGTTGTTCGATTTTAGTTGGTTTACAATGGCCAAAGTGAAACTGATCTAACTTGGTCAAATTGGAAAATTTTTTAACCAAAACCGACCTAAAATAATAGAAAACTGACCAACTCAAATCGAGTTGATCAGGTTGGTCAATTTTATAAGTTTGATGAATAAACCTAACTGAAATTAATTATTGTTATTTTTATATTATAAAAAAATTATTAAAAGTAGTATATAAAATATGAATAATTATTAATTATTTAAAAAGTTGAAAATATAAAACAATTGTATACTCTTATGTGTTTCAATTAAGGTCATTTACTGGAACATATCTTATAGTTTTTCATATTTACCTAAACATACCTTATAGTTTTCATTTTACTAAAACATCCCATATATTTTACAACTTATTTATTTAATCAACTTTTCATTAAGGAGTGTTTGTTTTGCTATTAGGTCCATGATTTTTTATTCAAAAAGTACCCTTAACACTTCTTTATGCAGAAAACAAAATTGGCCAAATATAATCAATAAAATGGTTACCCTTGTCTTATTATGGGCAATAAGGATATTTTTATTTGTATTTTCTTTTGATTAGGGTCAACACTGTCATTTTCCACTATCATCTAATGAAAGATTGGTTAAATCCATTACAAATTATAAGTAGTGTTTTAGCAAAATGCTAACTATATGGTAAATTTTAATAAATCCATAAAACTATAAGGGTATTTTAATAAATGACCATTTTCATTATTTATCTTTTCTTAATAAATTTCGTGCATTACACGGATACCGCTAATAAGTAAATTAACCTTTTACGTTCCCAACCGTGTATAAGAAACATCTGCCACAGTCCCACTGATAAGTACGGTAGATGTTTCAAATGCACGCTGAGATGTGCTGTGGGGCACGGTGAGGCGCAGACGTGAACTCGTGTAGAGGGCGGAAATATGCTTATTTATTAAATTTATATTCAACGTTCCCTCTTCCTACTCAAACGAGAAGCTTTGACGAAACCCTTCTCGGCCAATTTCTCTGAAAGTCGTCGAATTATAGTCGTTTTCTTCATCGATTTAATCTTCAATTCCTATCAGGTATATTTCTTCATCTGTTCGATCTGATAAAAATCGTTCAGAGTTTGCTTTCTATAACAGCTAAATTTCTTTGATTGGAGTATCGAAGAGAATAGATTCAAAGGGTTTCAGTTTCAGAAAATTAGGATATTAACAAGTCGATATTTGAATCTAGAGTTGTATAGGTAGAAGGTTACTTCATTTAATCACATATTATTTCTTTTTCCATTTGGTAGTGGTTAATGTTGGGTCCATATAAGATAGGCTCCGTTTTGCTTTACTTTCTTCATTTTTGAAGAAAATCTTAGCTTTTTTTTTGGTTTGAGAACTGGTGTGAAAATGCTCAGTGTTCTGATATAGCTTCCTCTTTCTTCTGCTACACTGAATTGTTTGAGTAGTTTTATTTGCCATTTTATGTCTGTCTAAAATTGTAAACCAGAAGCAGGTATTGAAACTTTTAGATCCATTCCTTTCTTCGCTGTGATACTGAAGAGGGGATTCTTAGGTGTTCCTCCTTCATAACCCACAGTTCATCCTCATTTCGAGTCAAGGTTTTGAAAATTGGTCCGTAAAATGCTGGACCTGTCACAGGGAACTCAAATTGTCAAAAATTTCTTAAAAACTCAATCCTAAATTCAATCTTGAAATTCTACAGTCCTCTTTGCTAGACATTTATCACCCATATCGTGGGTCATTTTAACTCTCATTGCTTGATGGAGATGATTTTGATATACGGAGTTTCCTGTAGGCTGATTTGATATTACTTGTCTCTCTCATGATCTTTCCAATACCATCTTATCCTTTTCCATTTGATATTTTCTGTTGCTGGTGAGGATTGATTTGGTTGTAGAGTTCGCAACATAGATTCCAAGTTTCAGATGATCGCATAGACCCAGATCTTCGTACCATTCATGAAATAGATCTTTGATCTTCATCATCCTTTTATTGATATTCAACCAGACCTGTTGGTTGATAGTGCATATATACCTCACTGCTGAAGGAATTGAAATATCCTATTACTTCTCTTGTACCTGGCCTTTCAATAAATGTGTTTCTTTAATATGTACTTTATCACCATAATTGGTTTCCTTATTTCTGAATTTGAGAGATTCTTATTCAATTAATGGAAAGTGTCCTCGGGGAATTGCTTCCTGTTCGATGCGTGGAGTCTTGGATCCAGTAGAAATCCATCTCTTTCACAATGCACCATCTAGCTTCCATAGCATTGCCTTATTCGTTCCTAATCTCAACCTCTTTAATTATTGATTACACGTTACACCAATGTGGTCATCCCAGCCTTAAATATCAGTTTCCCTTGCCAAGCTGTTACCTTACCCACCCAAAGTCCAGATCCTAAATATTTATCATTTTAGGACATTTCTTAATAAATAGTTAAAATGAATCCTCCTTTGCTCCCCATCTCGGCACCCTATTTTGTAGCATCCCATTTTCAACATTTAGAAGGGTCAATGCAAATATCACTACCAAGAAAACTCTCTCAACCCTCAAAATGAACAATGACTATGCTCTCTATTTCTTTAATCTTTCTTCCTTAATATGAGACAAAATCTCTTTTATCTCCTCTCTTTATTTAAATCAAGAAATCAGACACCCATGGATATGTTGCTTGCACAATACATTATTGCATGACACCATCAGGGTACTTGCTATCAAGATGTGTAATGCTTTGCATACAAGTCAATGTAATCAAGACAGCTATTGGGTGCCAAGGTGTGTCTTTCCTCCTTGGATCATGACACAGCATTTAGGTGATGTGTAAATGCCAAGCAAACACAAACACTTGCTGAGGGTTAAAATGTGAAATGAAGCATATGGTAATAGATATGAGGCTCTATATACTCAATGAAATGCAGCTTACAAAGAACTAAGTTAGATAACAAATTAATTCCAAATAGTGTGTTATGTTTCTCTCTTTTTATTTCATTGTTTCTTGCTAACATTTACTTGTCTCTAAAAAAATTGATTCTATATAATCTATCAAAAAATGATTCTATATGTGAAAAAAACATAAACACTTGCTCTTGTTTATGATTTGAAGTTATGTTGTCTGGACTAGTTTTGCTAACCCAGGTGTTCCATAATGGACTCACTTGCTAGATAACAAGTCTAGAACAAAGTTTGTTCATCTTGGGAGAGACGAGCTCATTTTTGCATGCCCATCAGAAAGAAGGACATGCAAGTTGCAATCCATAATTGTGCTTGATTGTGCACATCTCTAGTCAACACCTTCTGCATACTCTTATTTCTTATTTTTAGTGTATATTGAAATTCTGAGAGTGGCCACTTCATGCTAAAAATGCCAGTGATTAGGTCTGTATCCAGTCCACCCCTCCCAAGACCAAGATCCTGGATAATAGGAGCCAGCATTGGATAATGGCCTTTTAACATTATAACTGATTTCTAATGTTTTTGTGTTTCAAAGACACAGATATTAACTGGTCTAGTAGAAAATCCATTGAATTTTACCATTTTAGTAGCATGGTCCAAAAAGTGAACTCTTTATGAAGATTGTTTTACTGGACCACAGTTTGATTTTCTTTTCCTTTTCATCCTGGGGGTAGTTACCAGAAGAAAATAATCTTTGGAGTATTATCTTCACAACCTAGTTATATGTTTTGGCATTTGTGGTTCTTTGTCACAATTTTATGTCAAGGATACCAACAGAGTTGTTTATTAATAAAATGTTCTTTCTTTATATGAAGTTTGTGAGTTTGTATTATAATTTATTTACTGTTCTAGCGCCAAAGCAAGGAGCTCAGTTGGGCCAAAAGTCGTTACAAGGAATGTTGTCATCATTGATTTTCTGAAAGGCCCTTCTAAGTCTGAAGTTGAAGTGAGAAAATGAAATATTGCTTAAACATGGGAATGAATGGGATAGTCTGAATTGTAAGAGGGATGAGGATATGGCAGGGGAAGCTACTTTTGTGAGAAGTGAGAACATGTGGTTCATGTCTCTGGTCATTTTACATCGGAATTTCATTTGATTTTTTTTTAATTGGTAATGCAGGATGACAGAGCCACCTTTTGTCCCCAGGGAGAGACTCCTTAAGAAGCAACAGTACTTTCAAAGCATTCCCAAGCACACTCACTTGAAGGGTCCCTTTGACAAGATAACCTCAGTGGCCATTCCCCTTGCATTGGCAGCTTCATCTATAGTTCTCATTGTGAGTTAGAAGCGAGAAAGTTCTCTAATTTTTAACAGTGTACAGTTGATTTCTTGCCTCACTAAGACTCTTATGCTTTGTCCAGGCACGAGGGATCTACAATATGTCTCATGGGATTGGGAAGAAAGAATGAGGGTGCTTTCTCAACGGTGATGACCCAAAGTCTGACATGTCATAGCTCCCAATGATTTTATAAA